ACGCAATCAAAGGTTCATATACGAATTTACGAAAACAAAGCTTCCTTTATATGAGGAAGCAAAACTGACTCACAATTAATCACAAACGATTTACAAACGAAATACATTTAGAAAAATTAAAAATAATCAAATTTAGTAATTTCTGTCGGCTAGCTTCATAGAGATTTCCATAAGCTATATATGATCACCATCCGTTATAAATAGGTCACGTGATTTTCGACTGCAAATGGTGTGATTAAAATTATCTTCGCGTTCTAAATTTCTAATCAGTACGCGTGGATCAGCGAGACAGCTAGGTCTAATCCAACGTATCTTCACAGTGCTTTGCACGAGAGTCACCGTGGTTTATTGGTGGGGTTTCGTGTTGCAAGAGCGACGACAGCGAATGGTAAGTATATATGCGCTCACCAGGCGGCTATTTTTGTGACGATTCGAAGTACGCGCGTGCGAGCGTCAAGCAGCATCGAGTTTCTCGTTGACCTTGCGCGTGGTTCGTGGTGACTTTCGCTTGAACCTGACGGTGGAATCACATTTGTCCAGCAAGAGTACGCGATCAAAGTTAATCCGAGAATCCACCGTTTTCCACTGTCATACGCGAGAGATCGTTAAACGGTAAAGTATGAAAAAGTATGAACTGTAAGCACGTTGCTTCGATGGTCCTCTAATCTACGTATCGTGAGGTCGGTATAATTGACATTGTGGATATTTGGCATTGATCTTCAAGTGCGATATCTACAGCTCTAAGATCTTCGTAATCGTGGTCCATGTCACGTAACTCGATTTGGGAGACAAACGAAGCCAAGTGGGAGCGAGATCAGGGAATCCGTAATCTGCCGCGTTCTCAGAGAAATGCAGAGTGCAAGTTACACACACATGCACGCCGTACTATTCACGTCGGTACAAAAACGATTAGCACCGGCCACCGCAAACTGTTCTATTCGATCGACGATCTTCCACGTTTTCAGACGAGTGCGCGGACCCGTAGGAAAATACCTACGTAGACCGATTAGATATGATAATGGCTACGGTCAACGTGACGCTACAAATGCTTCGAAGCATTCCTTTTCTCTTTTCTTTCAATGAAGAAAGAAAGAGAAGAAGAACGCTCCAAAACATTTGTAGCGTCACGTTGACCGTGTAGCCAATGTCACGCGATAGGAAATGTTATTGACCCATGAGATGAGGTGAAGATAAATAGACATATGGTTCGAGTTTTTTGGTTTTTTCTATGATGATAAAACGCACTCTTTGAGACTAAAGTCTCCCATGCTTACTCATTAAATTAAAACATTTTAATTCAGCATTGAATGAATTTCTCTTACAGTTATTACGGTTATTACAGTACTATTTTTTACTGTAAACTTTAAAGCATACGTATAAGTAAACAAAATGAACAAATAAATATATTTCATAATTAGAATGTCTTTTTGAATGAAGAATATTGAAACCATTGAAACTTAAGAACTTTATGTAGATATATATAGAGGGGATTTATATATTGTATAGATTGCATCTTATGCACACGAGTATATATCTTAAAAAATTTGACTTACACCACACTAGGCTCTTATCCCTCCATATAAAAATTAAAAAAATATATATATATATATATTATATATATAATTTTATTTTTAAAAAGGACTATGTCCAGTTTGCGCCTCGAGTGAACAGTCATGAGTCGTATATTAATCGATAGGGGGGTACTCACGAAGTACGAAACAGAAATTTTACGTGCCTACGTGAAGTCTGGTGAGCATACTGACCTAACCTAAATTATAAATTATTTAAAAATGAAAATTTATTATTGTTTTAAAGTACTCTTCAAACCATTTAACTTTTGTTTAAAAAATTTTTTTCTATCCTGTATAAGTTTCGGAAATATTCGGCCCGAAAGAGAAAAGCCGATATTTTTCATCATATCAGTGTTTTAGTTCTTAACATGCATAAAGGTACGTATAAAAAAATACGCGTTTCTTATTTTGGTACATGGTCATAATATAATCATAATAGCGAACTTTGGACAGCTCTAGCACTCAGGGGACTCAAAAGTTGTGTCCATGGAACTTTTTAATCCTCTTTTGAGGCCCTACAATTCTAGCCATGTCTGATTGCTGTTCACCAGGGGCCCAATTTTTCATATAAAACTGGGCATAGTTTTTTAGGCTATAAATAAATATATATGAGTAAATATATATGACAGCAACATTATATATACCTATATATATACATATAAATATATATGTATTTATACATTATAAATAAATATATACATATATACATACGTATGTATATTTATGTATGTATATAATTAATATAATGTATTACACACCGCATATTATATTTTCTGTTAGAACAATTTAATAGGTACCTAGATATCAATTTTATTAAATCTGTTGAAATCAAACGAATAGGGATTTCAGAACAGATTACAAAATGTCAAGAGAACGTGCCTCCAGAAGATTTTATCGGGTAGACAGCACTAATGATTTGTTTGAATTTATGGACCGTGGCTATTCCGCCCAACATGAAAATCGGTGGAATTTTGAAGTTGCTTGGGAAGTTGCCAATAAAGGTGTTATATTACATAGTATTATATGTATGTGTAGATCTCTATTATGGATTCCTGATAATTATGTTGATAACTCTTTTTCAGTTGGCGGCATTTATACGGTAATAAGATCTAAAGCTTATGTCTCAACTGAAGAAATGGGCGATCAGTATTGTCTTATTGGCCCGTATAAAGAACATTCGGCACGTACTGAAGTTGAGGAGGCAGACTTTCCTTCTCATAACCCTTTGCATCAAGCGGTACAAGTTTTACGTGATCAAGGATATAAAGTAAATTTTATTTTTAAAAATTATGGACTTAACATTTAGTTATCAAAAATTATTTGTTAACTTTAGATCACGTGTTTAGAAAACTATAAATCAGAGTTTGAAAATATTATGATATATTTATGTACGTATCAAAATTTTCACGTTATATATCTGATATATATCCAAATATGGATATTTGTATGAAATTTTTTTATTTTAAAAAGATCTAGAATCTAGAACGTTTACATTGTTTCAAAAAAAAAAACTACTAACGTTAAAAATAATTTTTTATAGAAAAAAGAAATACAAGAATATAGGACAAACTGACGAAATTATATTATGTATTTCATATAATGTAAAACGCAAAAATAACTATCCATGTAGTGTAGATAAGGAAATATCAAAAGAGGAGATATCTAAAAAGATATCTCTTTCTATAGCACGTACTCCAGATTGATTCTGCCATACTCATACTAACGTAGTTTTTTTCTGTTATGTTTTACGTCAAATATTTGAAAATAATACAGTACAACCGCTCACAGAGTGCGTAGGGGCATCGCCAGGAACGCAACAGCTCACTGAGCCGCTAAGTAGCAAGAGAATGTGCGTGGTCCTTACCATGCACACTTACGTGCTACTTAGCGGCTCAGTGAGCGGTCGTGCTCCTGGATGCACCCGCCGTGACATAAATAGTCGAATGTTTGTTATTAGCTATATAGATCCGCTCGACATATCGACTGTTAGCCGTTCAATGAGCGATTATACTGAATGGGCTTAATAATACGCAGCGTTGCTATTATTCAGCTTAAAATCAGTAGTTTTGAAACTGATGATACATGTATCACATATAAATATCACGATATATTCACGATGTATGTCCAATATGTATCATTATCTATATATATCCTTCAAACTTTGCTATAAATATTCATCGATGATATTTTGCTGACAGCGAGTAGTTGGTAATTTATTTAAATGTATAATATGTAAAAAGTATATGATTTTAAAGGTGTATGTGTGCGTGCGTGCGTGCGTGCGTTTTAATCTAGTTGGATAATTTTTGTTTATTTTATTTTATCGAGAAATAACATTCGAAAAAATGTTTTTGACCAAGTTGTTTAATTTTTAGGCAGAAATAATGGTTATCTTGCGAGATAGAATTTCAAGGTTGATTTGGTTTTTTTTTTTTTTTAATAGAAACCCTCCATTTGTACTGCATATTCATGTATAGCTGACATCAAGATGTTTTCAAAACATTAAAAGTTTTATTTTTATCCAATTATTTCATATAGTTAGTTTTAGAGCCTGATCAATGTTATTGATTATTATGAATTTTTTTTTCTTTCCCATTTAGTTTTTAGGAAAATTAGTAAAATTTCGGAAAAAATGTTACTTAGCTTTGAAGGATTCAAAAATTTTGCTTCTATTATTTCTTTAACGATCTTGTAAATTCTGAGAATCATAAAACATTCTTTGTCTTTAACTCTGTTCAAAATTGCATATTGGAATCACACATTTCTGGTTCATTATTTGGTTAAATCTTGCCAAGACACTTCACATTTTAAGACTTTATTATTTTTGTTTAAGAAATATAATTTTTTTGTCAACTTGCAATCAAATTTATTTTGAAAATTTCTGATTGTTTATCAACAGAACGTGTTACAAGTTGTTATAGATACAAAATATGGCAATAAAAAGCTATTCGTGGATGTGCAAATGGATTTCCAGTATGTTCGTATTCAAATCATATTATAATCGTATTATAATATCAAGTTTAACTAGGAAAGAGAGATATTGATGATTTCATATCAGTCAATTTTCAATATTTTGTAACGTGTAAAATTTTAATATTTTGTATTTTTAACATTTTTGTAAATTTGATGCATTTTAGTTAATAATAATCTCGAATTTTTCAAGTAACCAATTTTCATTCTTGCAATAATATTAATCGCCACCCAAAAACTTGAAACTCAGAAGCAGAAATGCATTCAGTTTTGTCGATGGGTTTTAAGAAAAATTTGCTTTCTTTAAAAACTTAACCCTCGTAGTTACATCACCTGGGTCTGAGAGACCCTGCACATTGTTAAAACATTGTTAAAAGGTCAAGGTCCGTGGGGCTGGATCTGTTATTATACAAATATACACTTTTATGCACGAAATGGTTCTAATTTGTGAAATATATTTCAAGATGTTTTGTAAAACATTTTGATATCAAGCACGTCAATAAAAATTAAAGATTTTTATTTAAAAAGACCAAATCAGCTTTGATAATTGCAACTGAGAACAACCCAAGATCGTCAAATTATTTCTCCTTGAAAACTGCACAACTTTTATTGGAAACGTTTTTTCAAAAAATTAATTATTTCTCCAAACGTCATCTACGTAATAAATCATTCTTTATGTGTATGCACGCACGTGTGTTATAGTCTAAAATTTGTTAAAAAATTTTATCTCTGAGTAGACAAATATGTAATAACTGACATAATTTTCGCGTGCGCGCGCACATTTTTTTAGTGTCTATTTACTTGTATCATATTAGTATAGGTATAATAACAGTAATTTTGTAAATCAAAATATCTTTTTCCTCTTGGTTACATTATAAAATGTTTTTATTAAGGTAATAACAGGAACGTGGTTGGTGGATGGAAATCCTCAAATAATTTTGTTCGACATTGGAAGCGCTGCTTGGAAGCTAGACGAATATAAACAAGAATTATGGAGTACCTGCAATCTTGGAATACCTCATCTCGATATTGAAGCTAATGACGCTGTAATACTCGGATATTTAGTCTGTCAATTTATATCAGAATTTAGGTAACGTGATATTATAGATTTCTTATCATTCTCTATGTAATTTATACATATGTTAATTTTTCTCATGACAATGAAATAATAGAAAAGCAGCCGAAGAATACTCGAGCATTCCGCCGCGAGTAGTTGTACATTGTCATGAATGGCAAGCAGGTGTTGGTTTAATTGCTCTGAGAACAAGACACGTGGATGTGGCTACGGTATTTACTACTCACGCTACACTTCTGGGTAGATATCTTTGCGCAGGAAAGACTGATTTTTACAACAATATGAATAAGGCACGTAAAGTTTTTTCTTCATCCTTTCGCCTTTCCCCTTTCTCTTCTTTACCTTGATTTCTTGACTATATACATACTATAACGATCAACTTTATATACGCATATGCACGGACACACGCACGCACGCACGCGCACACACACACACACGGGGGATTTTACTTAAAATTTTTGAGTTGGGAGTCCCTTGGGACACTGAAATTTTTAAATGAAACCGCCTATATTGTAGTATATTGTTTGAAAGGACAAAAAATAAGACAAACATAATTTTGGGGCAAACCAGAGATACCTACGTTGATCCGTTCGGGAGTTATTTAAAGTCAAAGTTCGAAAAAACCACGTTTTGATCTTAAATAACTTCCGAACGCGTTAACATATCGACCTCTGGTTTGCGCCAAAATTTTTCTTATTTTATGCTCTTTCAAACAATATATTACAATATACTACAACATACACCAATATACTACAATATATTACAACATACTACAACATTCCATTTAAAAAATTCGTGGTGACTTGGCTCGTGGATCTGATGCCATGTATGTATGTATGTATGTATGTATGTATGTATGTGTGTATGTGTGTATGTGTGTGCGTGTGTGCGTGTGTGTGTGTGTGTGTGTGTGTGTGTGTGTATGTGTGTATGTGTGTATGTATGTATGTATGTATGTATGTATGTATGTATGTATGTAATAAAAAAGTTCAACATTTTATTTAATAGAACACGTTGGGATAACGTACTGAGGAAACTATGCTTAAAATATCAAAATTATTTTTATTTTTTCATGGAATGTATCTTTTTATTCGATAATAGAAGACATTGATTATTGAAAAAGTTGTTCAAGCTTAAAAAGAGCATAAATACGTTATTACGTCTCTCACTTTTAAACTAATTTTTATATTAGGGAAGGGTTTTAAATTACATTTTTACGTTTTATGAAGAATCACGTTCTTTTTGGTCGCCGTATCTATTTGAAGACATTTTGTATATTTAATATGTTGAATACGTGCTTGATATGTGATTAATGATATACTAATATACTTTTTGCAGTTCAATGTTGACCTAGAAGCAGGAAAGCGTCAGATATATCACAGATATTGCATGGAACGTGCAGCTTCACATCTAGCACATGTATTTACGACAGTTTCAGACATCACTGGCTTTGAAGCCGAACATTTGCTCAAACGCAAACCTGATATTATCACGCCGAACGGATTAAATGTAAAGAAATTTGCGGCATTGCATGAATTTCAGAATTTACACGCTGTTAGTAAAGAGAAAATACACGAGTTTGTGCGAGGTCACTTTTATGGGTTTGTATCAAACAAATGTACTTCTCTACAGACATTTGTAATGAGGACATACACGCTCGCGCACGCGCAATGAAATACGAAAAATAAAACTTTAACTCGTTATGCTGTCGTTATGTGCTTATAACGGCAGTTGCGCAGGTATACTATATGGTAAAAAAGCTGCGCAACGACAATATAACGATACTGCATAACGAGTCACAGAATCGCACTACACGGCTCTCCCATCTTGTGAGATTGTGACGTCAGAAGCGAGAAATGTTGAGACGTGACACGGTGAGAAGTCTTGCATGCCATTTCCAAATAAAAAGGTATTTGCATAAAATAACATTTAATTCTGATCACTTCAGCACATTCCGAAGTCCGAGGTTAGATTAGGTCTATCTCTTTCCCTTTTTTATAATAAACTGTTAAAAAATAAACTGTGGTCTAGTGGTAGAGCGCCAGACTCGTAATCTGAGAAACCAGGTTCGAGTTCACTTGAGCACGTAAAAATGGAATTTATTTCCGAAAGCTGCGCCCTCCGTGCGAGAAAGATTTTTGTGCGGAGCAAACTGGGCTCCTTTTTTCGGAAAGAAACATTAAGCCGTTGGATCCAAAGTTAAGTGAGAGGAGAAGGGTAGTGATGGACGAGACGTGTAACCCTAAGGGGATCGATTAAAACTTTCATTGTGCTGAAGTGATCTGTAGTGTTATTTTAAGCAAATATCTTTTTATTTGAAGATACCATGCAAGAATTTTCAACGTGTCATTTCTCGTTTCTGACATCACATTCCAAAATGACCGCGGCGAGTACCCAGTAGAGTCCCTCTAATTAGAATCTCGCCATATAGGTTGCATTCGGGGAGCACACTACTAGCGCTATTGCATCATTTTATCTTTATCGCTCTTCAGGTGTAAAACAAGGATAGAATAAGCAAATAGCGCTAATAGCGCGCTCCCCGAACGCAGCCATAGTAGCAAGTTTTGATTGGTTTGCCATTTCTTGACAAAAGTAAGAGAACAGAAAGAAAGAGATATAATAGAGAAAGAGAAAGCGATATAAATGTATATCGTGGTATATCGCTTTCTCTTTCTCTCTTATATCCTTCTCTCTCGGAGAATTTTGCCAGAACTGCAAGTTGGCCGGACTCTGATTAGAAGGACTCTATATATAGTACCCGGGAGCTTTAAACATCTGCTAGATTCGAAGGTAGAGGGAAATATTTTAGAAAAGAAATTGCACATTAGATTTCTTATTTGATAGCATTATGATCATCAGAATAAGTTCAATAATTTATAACACCGTGATTTTCAAATGACCTTGGATTTCAAAATTTTTGAGCAATGAAAATGTTTTGATGGATGGATAACGCATGTTTTTAAAATTTACCCGGCCTTGATTTGTAAAAGAAATCTCATCGATAAATAATAATTAATCAAATCAAAGATATTTAGTGCCATTTAAAAAAACCCTAATCTCGAAATGATCTTGAAAATAACTTTAAGAGAGAAACAATTTGTACCATTGTGCCATCACATTTTGCCCTAATGGGCAAAAAAATTACACTGTTTAATAATAGTTCAATTTTTCTATTTGACATTTTCTTCTCTATCTTCAAAAACCTAACAGAAATATTTAGTTTTCTCGTTCTTGTGACTTACTGTGTGTGCGTGTGTGTGCGCGCGCGCCTTTTTACGCATATATCTCGTACAATATTCAAACTTATATATGTTTGCAGACATTATGATTTTGATTTAGACAAAACGTTATATTTCTTCACCGCTGGCCGATATGAATTTGGAAACAAAGGAGCTGACATATTCATAGAAGCTTTGGCCAGATTAAATCATTATTTAAAAACGTCCAGGCCTGATCTAACAGTAGTTGCTTTCCTCATTTTTCCTGCAAAGACTAATAATTTTAATGTCGAATCTCTTCGTGGTCACGCTGTGAGTCATTATTAATATTAATATGTTATATATAGTATTAGTTCACATTACTGTTTGAAATACGTATTATAATATAAATTGTATGATTTATTATAACTAATACGTAGTATTTTGTCAACGTACTGTTATCAGGTAACAAAATCTCTACGAGACACTATCAATGATATACAGCAAAAAATAGGGAAACGAATGTACGAGTTGTGTCTCTCTGGTCGTATGCCTGAGGCTCAAGACTTGTTGCAGAAAGAGGATACTATTAAGATAAAACGGTATATTCAAAAGAACACAAGATAACATTATATATTTTTATAATCACGTTTCTTGATTTACTGACTTTCTGTTTTGTCTTATAGATGTTTATACGCACTGCAAAGGAATGGATTACCGCCTATTACGACACACAATGTTGTCGATGATTGGAATGATCCAGTGTTAAATGCCATTAGAAGATGTAATCTCTTCAATACCGTCCATGATCGTGTTAAGGTAAAAAAAAAAACATTTACAAATACGTACGCGTATGACACGCACCAGCATAGAGTTTAACGTAAACATTGATTAAGCACGTATTTAATATGTAGTCAATACTGTGCTTATATAACTAATATGTATCATTTATAGATGGTATTTCACCCAGAGTTTTTATCTTCGACAAATCCATTATTTGGCCTCGATTATGAAGAATTTGTCAGAGGATGCCATTTGGGTGTTTTCCCTTCATACTATGAGCCATGGGGCTATACACCAGCTGAGTGCACAGTCATGGGAATCCCCAGCATCACCACTAACTTATCAGGATTCGGATGCTTTATGCAGGAACATATAGCGGATCCAATGAGCTACGGTATCTACATCGTCGATAGACGTTACATCGGTTTGGAAGCGAGCATTCAACAGCTCGCTCAGTACATGTTCGATTTCGCACGACTTAGCCGTCGTCAACGTATCATTCAGAGAAATCGTACAGAGCGTCTCAGCGATCTCCTTGATTGGCGAAATCTTGGCATTGTAAGACAAAATACACGCACCTCATTATATTCATCTTATATCTTATATGTGTCTCTTCTGTATGTTCGTCGTTTTCCACAGTATTATCGTCAAGCAAGAATAAAAGCGTTGACTAGCGTGTATCCGGAACTGGCATCGGAATATGCAGAGGGTGGGATTGGTCGATTCACGTATCCCAGACCGATCAGTGAACCGCCATCTCCGTCATCTTCACGGCATACAACACCGGCCGCTTCTGTGCACGGTTCAGATGACGAGGACGAGGTTGATGAAGAAAAAGAGGTAAATACGTCAAACGTCAATTTAAATAGATATTGTACATTATTTTATGCTCACGTGCTTACTCATTCCGTAGCTAGAGGAATTACGACAATCGAATGGAAGGTAAATAAAGAGAACAAGAAGTATAATCGTGCGCAATAAGTTTCAAGATAATTTATAGAATGCGCATGTAACATTATAGCATTGCCAAAATACTAGTTGTACGTCCTAGTACGTGAAGTATGTGTATCTACATGTTTTTAAAAAATCTTAAATATTCTGAATTTTGAACGTTTATTTTATTAATATCTGTCACTGCCGTGCAAAGCACAAAACAGAATATACGTCGTAAGTGAAGTAAAGATATATACAGCAATACGTGTACGGACTCACTTCGTACCGTGATCATTATAAGTGATATTATTTACAATTTTTTGTTTGTTTACTAATGCAAATAAAACTTACGTTACTCTATTAAGCAGATCCAAACTCTCATAAGGCGTGCGTAACAAATATTTCAATATACTAATATGGGAGATTCTAATACATAAAAAAAGAAGATATAATATAGGTATATATATATATATATAATAAATTTTTTTAAATTAAACGTCCCCCTTGTTACCCTATATTCTCTCCAAACCGTGTTTTGATATCTTTACTAGTTCCCGAGATATTCTGACTAAAAGCTTTCAACGTAATACCCTCTGCATATACAGGGTAATGAAAAACTACTTAAGTGCCATAAATTTGGGTGATGAAAGAAGGGACCAATACGAGCATTTTAAGTATAGGATAGGAATCATGGGTCAACGATGGCTTCGTTACGGTGCTACACACGTTTAAAGTTTCACTGCGGTGCGGAAAAACTTTGGTACGTATAACTTCAGGGTCGATAGAGGACTATACTTAAAATGCTTGTATTGGTCCCTTCTCTTTTATCACACAAATTTATAGCACTTAGTTTTTTTATCTCACCCTGTGTGTATATATATATATATATATATATATCGCAGTGCCGTACGTGTGTGTGAGTTGTGTTTGCATATAGTAATATGAGCATACAATCAATGAATTTGATATACATAAGTATGTACGTATACAGAATATATTATTGTTATATAGAAATAATTATATTTTTATTAGAATTAGCATTTTTGAATAAAAGTTTCAATCATCTTGAGTTATAAATCCTTGCAACAATATTTACATCATTCACGTAGCAAGAAATGACGTTAAAGTACCATGTTGCGAAAAAATTGTAAAAAATGTGGATAACAACGTGCTGCAATAAATAAAAGACACGTCAACGATAATCAAAAATTTTACTTAATAATATTAACATAATATACAAAATGAAATGACTAAGTTACATTTTTTTGCGACACGTTTATATACGGCGAATTTGGCACTTGTATAATACCAAATTATCCACTATGTTATTTAATTTTGAATAAATATTTACACATTACAGAAGCGGTATAACATATTACATAATTGATAATAATTATAGTTTAACAAATACAACTGTGTACAAAGTCATTGTAATTTTTTTAGATAACCTGAAGCTATATATATACGTTTAAGTAATTACGACAATAAGAATGATAATTCGGAATGATTTTCTTATCGCATGACATTAGTTAATTATCATCATATATGCAATGAGATTCCATATTGTATTTATGTTATCTATCTGCGTACGCGTTGTCTGTACTAATAAATAATGTTAAAAATGTTGATACTACGTACAAAATATTCTAATTTCTAGTATTAATTATTTTAGTCTCGATTATATATCATGTAGCGTATCATTTAGAATTTAAATGATCTAATTGAACATTTCCATTTTCTCGATTATGAATAGAAAAGAAGCGTTCATATCGTACACAAAAGAAAAATAATTGATAAATGTCACTCACATCCACATATTCAGTAAGTTTCACAATAACCAATTTCCAATTACTATAAATGATTATGAGAATATGATCGAATAATCATATACGACTCGGATATTAACAATGTAAGCGATAAATTAATACACAATATGTATTAATTGAATGACCATCACTTTAACACACTTAAATGGCACTCGTTAAATAGAATTTTATGAAAAACTGTAATTATATTAAAATAAAAAACAAATGTGCATAAAAATTGAAAAAGAGAGTATTACAATTCTTAGTAATACGTATTTTTTACTTTGATTATTCGATATAATCCTGAAAAATTCATCGGGACATATTATCTTTTAATTGAGCAGAACAATTTAAAATGGATGATTTTATGCACGTGCAGCTTCTCTTAGCAATAATGTTTACGTGAAAAAATATACAAGCACTTAGTAATTTCCGTGATGAAATACATAGGACAATATTATTATGATCGAGTAAGTATCAATAAATTGTAATTTTCATTCAATGCAGTCTATTATTAAAAAGAAGCTTAAGAAATTTTTATATTAAAATTATACAATTTATAGTCACAATAGTAACTAATGATCCTAAATAAAATAATATCTACGTTTATATTTCGAGATATCAAATTTCATTAAAATATTAGCAAATCTCTATCGTCGACTCGGACTCAAGTAGCCTGATTTGATATTTTACGCAGTGACTACATAGTTAGACTTTTATTTCATACTGGCAAGCTTTAGTTGTTTATTTTTTTATTACTTTCTGCAAAGCTTATAATAGCGAAGGAAGAAGGGTGTTCCTTCTTTTAGACCGTTGATATAGATAACCTTTGGTTACATAATAAGAGCACTAATATTATGTTAATATTGTTCAATGTATCATATGCGCGCGCGCGCGCGCGCGCGATCGCGCGTGTTGTGTGTGTGTGTGTGTGTGTGTCGCGTGCGTGTGCGTGTGCGCGCGTGTATTTGTTTGGAAACTATTCTATTAGTCTATTAGTCTTCAGTTAATTGGCATTTTACGGTGTATGGCTTCAAAGTATAAATGGTTGCGATCGTTAGGGCCACTTCGACCAAACTCCGATTAACTTAATCATTGATTAAGCCCCAGTTTCACAAGTATCGGTTAACTTTTAATCTTAGATTAACTCACTCTTCGTCTCTTTCTAACGTCCCTCTAGAAAGAGACGAAGAGTGAGTTAATCTAAGATTAAAAGTTAACCGACACTTGTGAAACTGAGCCTAAAGGGTTGTCACATGACAAAATAATTAGTATGACCATTTGTATATCAGGCGTAGATGCGGATGGCATAGACTAATTTCAATATCTATTAGTACTTATGACGATAATTATTTATACTTCACATCGTAGAATATAAAAAACGATGACAACAGATTTCGATTATTTATATATCTCACGTTACATCTATTGACATTAATTTATCTTATCCGAATTTAAGAGTTAATCACAAAAGCGGATACGATCTACAATTGACAAAAGGAAAAGAGAATTTCTGCGCAGCTACGCACGATATGTATACAAAGTTTTTACGTACGGGAACATATTCCCTTCATTTTCATAAAGTGAAACACATTTAAATTCTCAAAATCAAAGAGAAATAATTATCAATAGTACACCAAGCAGTGTACACCAACAGACCACGAGGTACATTCTTCGTATCATCTCATGAATATATCGGTACATTAAGGCTCCTGGTCCCTGAGCCGAGAACTCTGCGTTGACGGTAGCGCCGTACCGTCGCGGCAGAAATAAGAACTCTCTCCTCTCACTCTCTCCAATGGAGAATTCTGTCTTGTGACATGTTGACAACCTTATTTTAAGTTGCGGTATATTTCTTTATTATTCGCTCTGTACTTATGCTCTAACGTTTAACGTATTCGTGAAACTCGTAAAATTGTCCGTATGGTAAGATTTGCAAGAAATATATATGCGGAAGGAACATTCACCACTCCTTTCGATAGTCGTCAAACGGCTTGTTTTCCGTATGTTTAGGCTTTGTTTTATGGCTGTTTGTTTATTGTCGAGGGAAAAGGATAGTATCCGGTCAATTTTTGAAGTGTGCTGAAACGATCTGTCGTGATTTTTTATTGAAATGTCTTTTTATTTCGGAAAATACCGCAACTTAAAATTAGGTGTTTTCCTCGCCTCGATAGTAAGAATCCAATATGGCCGCGGTGACTACCCAGGAGCCTTAAATAACGATGGCAATCACATTTTCCTTATCAATTCTCCAGACGGACGGATTTATGTGTGACTTGATTGAGTTCCTCCCATCCTCTGTTGCATCATAGTTAAGAGTAGTTCTGAATATTGCTGCATCATATTGACTACCTTGCCCTGATCCTGACCCGCGAGTAATTCTTGAAACTTCACCGTCGCTTCATTAGTGACGACGCTTCCGCTACTTCCATCGTTGTCGTTCTCACCACCGCTGGCAACGACCAGTCGTAAAGTACGCATGGTTTCGTTAACAGACGACTCTAATCCACGTAGCATCGTATCCCGATCGATCGCTCTTCTAGACGGGTCGTCGTCGTTGTCTATCATCAAACGTTTGTACAATTGCACGACGTTGTCCGCAGTGCGTGTAAGCTCATCCGCGATCGTGTTGCATAATTGTGTGGAGACTGCAAGAATGCGTAAGAAATGTTATATTTTTAATAATAAATCCACGCATAGAAGAAATAATTATATATTTATAAAAGGCATGCATGTCACACATTAGTTTTAAGATCTCGAGGTCACGCTACGTGGTATCTATCAAGCTGTGTAATCTTTTAATGATAAACTCTTGAACTTTTCTAGATAATGATTCAAAGAACTTTTTTGTACGAGTTCGTCAAACAGCCTGATGATTGGGCGCCAAGTTAAAAAAAAGTCATGATATATTTATATAAATCAAAATATCCGATGTATACAGGGTGTCTCATTTTAATCGATCACCCCCAAGAACTTTTTTATTTGTGATTCTAGAAAAAATGCTTTAGACGAAAGTTGTTTGATTTGAATGGGGACATATGATTCCAATGTGAGTCGTGTCATACATGTCATTTCCAAAAAATTTCAAAGAAGACTAATTTTTTTTAATGAAACTTGAGTTTTTTCTTGAGATAAAAGTTTAGAAAAGATCTCGTCGAGACGTTTTCAAAACACTATAATAAAGCCCTCTTTAATTAAGGATTTCCTGAGATATTTAAAATTTTATTATAATATTTTTAATATAAAATATGAAATATCTCGTAAAGTATATTCACTTTTCTATAACTTTACCTTTATACTTTTATACGTAGAATAATGAAAGGAAGTGATTAATAATAATAATTTTTACATTTGCAATTTTGCAAAATTAAATGCGTCTATAAAATGCAATCGAATTTTTTTAAATAATGTTTTCTATTTTTATACAACAATCGATTTCTTTCATTATTCTACGTAAAAAAGTATGAAGATAAAGTCATCGAAAAGTGAATACTTTACGAGATATTTCATATTTATCATTAAATTTCCTATTTTATATTAAAAATATCATGAAAAATTTAAAATATCTCAGGAAATTCTTAATTTAAGAAAACATCGATCACATTGACCTAGCCGAGGAAAAAGTCACTCAAGGTCAAGTCCATATTTTCATCTGTCCCGCTCGATATTCTACAACTTTTGTTTGAAACATTTTTTTACGTATCTTCCATATTTTCCGAGATATTTTCTTAAAGCAAATTAAAATAAAACACCCTGTATATATAGTTATTTTCACTATATTTATCATGCGTAAGTGAAATTCTATATAAATATAATCTATAGATTTTTGTACAAATTATTTTAAATATACGTGTGAGTAAATAATTCATACAATATGACAATAATATGTTAAAATATATATCTTTGACTTTGTTGACGTACTGTTCATAAAATTTAATTCCAAAATAAATAACATTTAACATTTATAGCTCCATAACTTATTATAAACTTCAAGTTTTTTTTATCACAACCATCACAGCATGATCACTTATAAATTTTGGATACACACACATTGAAATATTATATTCACAATGCAGTATTAATAAATTATCTTTAAATTACCTAATGTTTTATCCATGCCTACTGCAAGAATAAAATTAAAATTAGATATCGATTATATAACATATAGATGAATTAATTAAAGGATACCGATTATATATATATCTGCACGTATATAAATTTGAAAAAAATTATATCTTAGCATTATAGTTCTTGTTATCTTATAGATTTAAATTTTTTAATGATGACAGAGAAATGATTATAATCACTGGGTGTTTAATTTTGGTATACTCACGTTCGACACTAGCTACATCAATAGCGCGATCGGTGTCCTTAACTGGTAGCTCATGTGGACTAGGCTCCAACTGATTTCTATTCGCCGCGGATATCCTACTTCCATTTTGCCCGATCGCACCGGCACCATTCCGGCCATTTGTGATGATTGCCGATCCAGATTTTCTTACCGTTGTACCGGGTAAACTTAAACTAATTAAAATAGATATTACTTTATACTTACGCTTATACTATCACTATTATAATGATTAGGTAAATGCATACTTCAACGTATACATCCTCCGATAATCTTGATCTTAATATATATTATTTACTAAATATTGTGCAAATTTTAATCCGTGCTCATCATTGATTTAAAAAGTTTTAATCAAACTTGTAACCAAATTAACCCCTCTATAGATTGCTCTATAGATTGATTTATCAGCATCTGACTCAAAAAAATAATATTACTTTGACGCAATGTCAAATTGATATTGACTTTGGGAGTTCAGGCTACACGGTCCATATATCGACTTTCGCATATGGACCTTTGATCGCGTATAAAGCTGGATCTACGCAACCAAATCTTAAAGAATTACTGCTACTAAGCTGACCCTTTTTCAATTCATAAAAAGGTTAAAAAAATGAAAAAAGGTGTGCAACGTGGAAACTTGCACATTGCTTCCTCATCATTACAGATCGCTACCATTCCTCCTATTTTATTTCGCTCATAAAGATTCCTCTATGAGGTAGCCAAACTAATAATAATACTAATACGTATGCAACAAATAAAATACAAGCTTCCTAAGAGGAGCTTTGTGAACAAAATAAAATAGGACCAATGGTAGCGATCTGTACGGATGAGGAAGCACGGTGCAAGTTTCCACGTTGCATACTTTTTAGACATATGTATTTAGTTTAGGTTTTAGGTTTAGGTTTTAATGTATGATAAATTAATAATTTTAATAAGATAAAAAATCTTATACCGTGTAGGATTAAATATTGTGTAAGTACTATGTAAATAAATAAAAAAATAAATATTCTTTTTATACTAACAAACAGTTAAAACTTATACAGATGTACTATGAATTATTTAATATGTAGTCATACCATAAATTCTGTTACTAAGAAAAATGGATTTATTTCTTAAAATAAAATAAACTAAAATAAAAAGCAGCGTGAGATATATACTCGTTTTATTGCATTGACCTATTACAATAAAATAATCATAACTATTAAAAATTTCTATCTTTTGCTTTCACAAATTTCTTCAAACAGTCGGGCTTAAAATTCGCCTGACTCGCACATTTGCCGTTGATGATTTATTGATTATTTTTAAATCGTACGTGATTAATGTAATAAAACGAGTATCATTCGTTCATACTGCTTTTTATTTTAGTTACGAAATAAAAATCTATTTTTCTTAGTAATAGAATTTGTGGCATATGAAATAATCCTAACGATATATATCAAGATTTCTGGATTATCAGAAAATGTAAATACATTAAGTATATATATTTATCATAGTTTAATGGGATTATTAAACTTTTTCATTTTATACTGAAAATTAGTAATAAAAAAACCAAGAGCTATCAAAACATCGAATTTTTACCTAGCAGAGGAATGATCGATACTGATGCTTCTAGGTCTTGGCGGTAGTGCCGGTTTTCCTCCATTTCCATTCGACGAGGTATCTTCCGAACTCGAATCTTCTTGATTTCCCACTTGACTTAGATTAACTGCGAAAGAAATGTATATCTTAGGCAAACACTGATATTTTCGTTCGTACGCCTCTTCGCTGATACGAAATGAGAATTTCACGTACCAGTCGAGAAAGCCCCTTGCATTCCTCGTCTTCTCAAGATTGATGAAACATTGTTACTAGAAGAACTCGATTTATTTTGATGATTAATTTTATTTTGAGAACTAATCGTCGGTCTCATCAGACCGCTTGTCCTACTGTTAATGCTAGATTGGCCATTCCACCCTCTAGCTCCTCCTGCTATACCGGCATCCGATTCCGAGTCACTCTACAACGTACAATAATTTTTATTTAACGTATTACTTATGCATGTACGATTTTCGGGGTTCTTATATTGCGCATATCACAAAATATACTTGGTTTAAAACACCAACGCTGCTGCTTCTTGTTATGTGAGTCGAGTGAGTTTTTCCTGAAACATATCTGGATTGGCTGCTAGAATTGGCACCGCCACCAAATCTTGATGTTGCACTTACATTTTTACTTCCTAACTTTCCTGAAACTATTATCACTTGTTAGGAAAAGAAATTTACCGAAATGTCTTATGCTGCTTATGCATATTTTTAACACATGAGTGCTTGCGTAAGGATCAATTTAACCCACATTTTAATTTATTTATATTTTACGTATAAACAGACGTGTTCATTTTTATTTGGTACGTGTGTAGATGGAAGAGGGCTGCCCTTGGATTATAAACTGAGACATGTTTTAAACAAAATAATTTTTAACCATTAGAAATGTTTATGCGTCTGGATCAGTTTGTCCTCCACTACGCGAGCACTTACGGGTTAATATAGTTGATACACGAAATATTACGAAAGACAAATATACGTGTAAAATATCTAATATAGAAATTTAAGTGTAGTGAGAACGACTCATCGAAATATAATTCATTGAGCATAGAAGCGTATGAAAATATATTATCCGTACGTAATGATGAGAGATACCTTGTACAGGGCCATGCAACAACCTATTTGGAGGACTGATGGAAAGATCACTCAACGAACAGGCGCGTCTCATGCCACTCTCTTCCTCTTCGCTGTCAATAACTTTTGACGAAATTCGCCCCCCACTACTGCCAGCTGTTGACAACGCGCACACACATGCACTAATCGCTACTATTTGCATGATGCTTTTCTTTTTTGAAGAAATGTTTATTATTTTTCTTAAGCTTACCTTTATTTCATAAATATTTATCTTTACATAATTAGCTCCAAATGACTTTCAGCTGACCTTGATGTTGATTTTGACCTCTTAGGAAGTCAAGATCATTGATCTTTCCCGTCGCTTGGTTAATAAAAAAAAGTTCTGTGAGTTAATAAATGTGTTGAAAAGAATCTAAATTTCTTTGATCTTTGTATATATATATATATATATATATATATATATATATATATATATTGCGATTATGACTGAGAATATCATCCATATCATTCTAACCCAACGTAATCTAATCCAAACCTAATCTTAATTTCAAATTACATATAATATACAAATTACAATAATCTTGATCTTCTTAGAGGTCATTAAGGTTAACGGAAAGTATTTGGGGCTGGCTCTGTGTAAAAGGTAAATATTTACCCTTTTATTTTTAAGCAGTTAAATTTACAATATAAAAACCACTGTTTTTTCATTAATAGAAAAATAAATATATGACAATGTAAAATAAATAAATAAAATTGATCGACATGTAGAATATATTTAATACGTATTTCCTTATGTGCAAGAAGATCCAGTTCAAAGTAATCTTGATTTTACCAATTTTCTATAATTAATATGATACGTTGACTTATAGAGCTTCTTGCACAAAGTAAATAATTAAAATAAGACATTAGAGAGCAGGATAGCGACAAAAAGGAAAGAAGGGTAATGTTGTAACTTAATGAGAAAAACATGCGGTTGCGTTCCGTGCAAATGGAAATGATTAAAAATATTAACCAAGTCTTCGCACAACTTGAAAAGCGTTTAAACTGAAAAGTAAAATGCTGTCGTCTTGAAATAAAATCGAACGCGATTATACGTAAGCGATAAGTGGACGATTAACTATGGTATTTCGTTGAGACATTTCACTTTTCTATCTAGATACAAAGGTACGCCATCAAGTAAAAAGAATTTAAAAAAAGTATCTTAAATATTAAAATGCAAGAAAAAGATACATCAATCCTCCATGTAGTCTCCTTGTTCTACACAACTGGTTTAATGTTTCACGTAAGGAACGATGCCATCGGAATTTTATTTGACTGCTTCTTCAGCTCCTATTATTTCTTTTGTCCTTCACACAAAAAAGGATGACAATAAACAGTGCCAACTATTTAGAGCTTGAAAACAGAATTGAAACCAGCAATGTTGAGCAAACGAAGAGGAGTACTTGTTAGGGGATTATTTTGCTCCAAGATAATCCCAGGCCTCAGGGCATTTCGAAATTGAAGCTTTGGAGCATCCACCATGTGACCATTACATTTTTGGATGATGAAGACTGAAGGGACAATTTTTGCTCTGATGACGATGCCAAAGATACGAGGTTTACGAAAACAAAGCTTCCTCTGTGAGGAAGCAAAAAAGTAAAAAAATTTTATTTTGGGATCAATCAATTAGTGAAATATTGGATCATTTGTATAGAACGAGGAGGAGACTATTGACGATTGATGTATTTTTTTTCTTGTATTTCAACACTTGGTACATTTCTTTTTTCAAAATTTCCTTTACTTTTTCAACTGCCTCTGTATACACACGTATACTATACAGCTACGTACATCTACAACAGATATATGTACATACGGAAATACAAATATCTCTTCTGTAAACGGCTCAATGTGTTGTAATGTAAATTCTTTTACTTGATTTTGGGAAACTAACACGTAAAATTTAACAACACGTAGAAAATATATGCAAGCATTTTCTATTCGTTATCGATACCTGCATAAGGATACTTTGTAGCAAAAATCGTTTGATCAATTGTCGGCAGAGTTTTCGTCCACTTGTGACTTGTGTGACTCGGACAGCGCGACGCGGGCGGCCACATTCTCTTAGGCGAGTTGGTGCAACTTGAGGCGGACGTGGAGGAGCCGCTCTCCATCAGCGACCTGTCCATCGTCGACACATCGGCGCAGTCGCTGTCCTCGCCGCACGAGTGCAGTCGTATATCGCGTCTGACCGCGTAAAATCTACCATCACGCTCGGCCTCCAACTTGGCGAAGTTCTCGCTCGTCTCTTGACCGTGCGTCAGTCGTAGACACCTCTCCCTCGTCAAGTATTGCTTTTGCTTCACTAGATTCTCGAATTCCTTCGAGAGTAACTTCACGGTGCCCTCGATCGCGCGAGTTATCCGAAAATCCACGCTCGCGTTGAGATCGTCGATACGTTCATTGGTGGTCTGCAAATTCGAACTACTGAGCGATAACTCTTCTCTTTGCGGGTCGCAGGAAACTCCGCCGGGCTCCAATGAATCGTAAGTTTCGTACATATCCTTCGTTGGAATATCGTTCTCGAATAAATTTACTTGTTCCCTATCGTATGATACGCCGTGTCCCTCTCTCGTGTCGTGAATCTTCGTTATATGATGATTTCTCGTTAGACGCGAAGAGTCGTTTTTGTCATACATCAACTCATCCTGCATACCATTCTTATCGGCGCAAGTCTGCAGACTGTAGAATTCGCCTCCGCTGTCTTTATTATCGTCAGATTGCAGTGTAAAATTTGCAGACTGCAAGAACTGTTGCATTACTTCGGTATCGAGTAAATCTCGCTTAGTCTTCTTATCGCTCGACGTAACTCGATATTCGGAACAAGCTGAACTCATGGAGGATGCCGTGTAATTGTCGGAATCGGTTACGCTTTTTAAAGCAGGCGATGAGAGCGGCGTGTCAATGTACTTCCAGGCTGGTCTAGCTCTGTTGCGCATACTCTGAGTGCGGGACGAGTTTCTCTTAGGTTTCGGTGGTTTGTGAGCAACGAAATCATTCAGGATCATCATCGATTCCGGTTTCAGGCTCGTGCTACACGGAATAGTTTCCGATCCGCTGCAAATCGTCCCATCCGCATCGTCCTTGTGCTCATTATCAAAATTGAATTCACAGTAAACTTGAGTTTTCAGTGATGCAGTGTCTTCTGCGAACGTCGTCGTGTTCCTCGCTTTGCTGATTCTAGTGTCCTGCAAAGACTTCGATCTAAATACCGCTCTGTACAGTGTGTTCTCCGTGGTGGACGTTTGTACGTCATCCGTGGTGGTCTCTGTGATATTATTAGGATTTCCACTGTAAGTCTCGGAATTTTGCCTCTTTCGCTTGTAATGAGAGTCGAATAACATTTCCAAAGGTGCTGATTTCACTAAAGAGTCCGAGTCGTCGGTTAACACGCTCTCTGTACTTCGATGATCAGCGTTTTCGTGTAATGGAAACATCTGGTAGTCCGACTCATCAGTTAATATACTCTCCTGACTTCTGCTCTCCTGCATCTTGCGTCGAGATAGGAAGAAGCTCGCGCTCGAGTGTCTATCGTGATCGTAATCCAGAATCTCGGCGCTTCCCTTAGAGAACGATTCAACAGAGGCATCCGAGAGTACACTCTCTTGAGAACCAGTTAAAATCTTCTTCTGAATATCCTGATACGTCGAATAACTTCTGTAGTCATTCATATGAACGTTAATCTGATAGTCGCTGACACAACGCCGAGGTGGATTCTTGAGATCTCCTTCCAGTGAATCGTCGCTGAACGTGCCGTTCCCCTCGTCGGCATCGTCGACGGTCTCTTTAAAATTCTCCATATTACGCTCGTTCATAGCGGGTAAGCTTTCGAAAGATTTTGCAACGTTCTCCATATCCTTCTCATTATCATTCAGACCGATAAAATAACTGCAAGACCTTCTCTTCTGAGCAAATCTTGCAAACCGACTGATATTCTTCTTACACTGCTCTTTCAATAACTTCAATTCCTCGCATACAGGAGATTCGGGCAAAGATTGATTAGCCTTATTCAAAGACAGCTTATACTTTTCAGTTTTTTTTAATGTCAACGTTAACGGACGGCTAAAAGTTGGTTTTTTTACTTTCTCATTGATGCACAACATAGTTGGACTTTTCAACAAGCAGTTTTCACTTGGTATCTCTGGTTTAGGTAACGCATTCCCCATACCTTGGACCTTGTTAACTTTGTTGGATTCTTGGGATTTAAACGTGGGTTTTGGATTTAGCATAGGTTTGCAGGGATTACGCGGTTTTGAAAATTGGTTTAGTTGACCGGATCTGTTACCTGTGCTGAGCCTGTTTGAACGATGATGCTTTTCTTGTATGTGACTGCTCAAGTCGGATATGCTTTGGCTGGATTTCAGTAACGATCTATAACCCACCTGCAAAAATAAGACGCGACGTTTACTGCAAAAGTTCCCGTAGAGCATTTCGCTTTTTTCATGCGAAGATTATATTTACACTTTGTAATTTTCTTCTGGTTTCCTCTATCCTTCTCTGTAACTCTTCCCGTTTTTTTGCAACATCAATGTCGCCTCTCGCATGTTTTGTCGCGTTAACCACCGCCGCATTACGTATTTTGGCAGCAGCGTTACCTTCACCGCCACTAAGTCTACACAACAATTCAAATTGATCAATAATCAGTGATTATTGAAATACGGACCTAGCATCATAAAAATTCACTCGTTCAAATCTCATTTTACCTCCCGTGAAACTGAGAGCTAATACTTGTTGCTTTCGCACGATTTGGTGGTTCTTCCGCGCCGCTAAGCGACTCGAAGGCATTCTTCAGATATTTTTCCCTGTGACTCTGTTTAGAAAGCTGATCAAAACCTTCAGAACTAGCTTCGGATAATATAGACAACGGATTTCTCTCGGCGCTAGGAGTCGACGCCCCGCCTTCTGAATCAGATTCATCCTGACTGCCAGACGCGGTTAATTCACTCGTCCGACCATTCTCCGCGTTCTTCAACTTCTTTTGACGCCTTTGTGACCTGTGTGCATATAAGATGCGCTTTACACTCTTATCGACAAAAAGATTCGCAATATACGCGAGAAGAGCGAACGTAGATATGTTGAACCAAGAACGAACCTTCGAAGTTCCTCAACGTCCATCGCATTAACGGTAAACTGATTTGATACAATATCTTCTGGTGGGGGATAATACATTAACCTATGGTGTGACTTTTCAGAACTAGTCGTTCCGTTTTCCCCTTCGGAATAATCTTCGACATCCCCATCATGTTCGGTGCTTTCATGATCCTGAATAGCATACATTTTTTGATAATATGGCGAGGTATTATTTATTAATGACATAATTAACAATTAAATTAAAAACATAATACAGTTATGAGTAATATGATGTCACGTGAGAGAATATAATATCGGCAGAGAGAAATGTTATTTACATATGTTATGTTTTGTTATATTTGAAAAAGTGGATTTTTAAATTATTTCCTAAAGAGACGTATTATACGTAATCATTTTTAGAGAATGTTTCACGTTTTTAGGAAGATATACCTCAAATTTAAAGCTGCCAAGACTGCTATCGTCGGTGTGATGACGACTTCTCGCGTGACGTGTCACGTCCGTAAAATTATTATTTCTTACTGTCACCTTATCGTCAATCGCCTATGCCATGTGATTGAAATAAAGTGTGATCAATGAAACAAATATGCAAATCAACAATGCAATCCAGATTATCAAAAACAAAGAGATGATTTAAAAAAGCAAGAGCAAAGCACAATAATCGGTGAATAAAGATGAATCTGCTACTAGAAAGACAATATAAGATATACGATCAAACAACAATACTCATATAACTTTGTTAATACCTGTTTCGTTTCATTTTCTATCTCTCTATAACTTTTGGGACAAGATTGAAATACACTTTCCTCTTCTTCCTAAAATCGCAATTAAATGTTAGTATTTCATTCTTAGATTGAAGAAAGCAGCAATATATCAGAAGAATATGTTAATATTCGATATTATTCGACGATTTAATAATTATTTAACGATAATTAACGTAGTTATGTTTAAGGAGAGACTAAACTCTCTTAAAAATGACCAAAGTAGATTATTTCCTGCATGTTTTGAGTTATACAAAGTGATTTTCGGATATGTCCAAATGTCGAAAAAAATGGTTTAAACTTATAAAACTCTCGCGATTTTTATTTAGAAGCGATAATCAAGGAAAAATAATTTTTTTTTAAATTTTAGTTTGATACTTAGCAACACCCTCTATTTGTAACCTTGATTTGAAGTAAACAAAGAAAAAAAAAGTTAATTCATTGCAAGAGATGCGAGGTTGCCAAATATTATCAAATCTTGCCAAATAATATCAAAATCTTCAAGACACTTTCCAGTAAAATCACATTTTCTAACTTTTACGTACCTTTTTCTTGAGAAATACATCAAACCAATTTTTACACGCGTTATCTTAATCTCTTCAGAAATGACTGGATCATGATTTTTATCATTCGGTTTTAAAAAATTATAATTTTATAAAAAATTACAAGCAACTAAAGTTAAAAAATTTTTCAAATTATACGTAAACGTCAGAAAAAAATCTTATTTAGAAAAAAGTATCACGCCAAATGTAGCCAAAATCGCGTGATAAGAATTTAAAGAAAGATGATTCAAATATGCCTCAGTGAGAAAGATAAAGATGAGGAATATAAAGATAACTATGGCCTTGTAATTTCGCAACTGCATCTCCTCTATCTCTTAATTTACAATTTATCTATCGCAAAAAACTCGTAAAGATCCTCTTCTACTAACCCTTTTGTTAATCATCGTTTCTCGACGATAGTCGCTGCTGCATTTCGTCTCTGTGCCGCTGTCGATGGAGCTGTCCTTCGAGTCGCCACCACCGCCACCGCCACCACCGCCATCCGAGTCAATGGCATTGCGCGACGGAGGAAACGGTATAACTTCGTCGCTGTCATAGACAGACTTGACGGTGATACCGTCGCTCTGTTGAACCCTTTGTGCCCATCGTCCCTTTGGCAGATCGACACCGAGAGACCTGACATTTGAGTTCAGAGCAGCGCTATCGTCAACATTCGTGGTATTTATTTGTTTCTTCGCCCATAGCGGTAACTGACCGACGCTGAATCTGTAATCTACGCTCTGGAGCGTTGGATTCGAGTTGGGATCGAGAAGATCCGATGGAGGCGATCCAAAGGTTTCATTATCCAATCGTATGTCGATTTCGCCATCGTTGACTTGGAGCGGTTTCCTAAATGAATACATTCGAGAGATGCACGTATTTTAGCATTTAGCCGAAGCCACACGACGACACGTAAGATCGAAAGAGCATTTGTGAACGGAAAGAAGCTACTTACTTGCCGGCGCGCATCGCTTGCTGAGCTAGACGAGCCTGCATGGTCACGACCATGTCGTGCGGAATACGCCACACGAAGACGCAGCCGTCACCGCTCGCAGACACAAGGTGACGACAATCTGGGCTAAAGCGCAAACCAGTCACCAGTTCTGAATGACCAACCATAGTGGCCATGCACTCGCCGCTATAATAATCGTACACGCATAACGTTTTGTCTGTACATGAGGTAGCTACATAAATACCGGACGCATCTGAAAATAAGCCAAATGGGATATTTTATATAGATTATCAGTCGAGGTCACGTGTGTAGACCACGTTATAACAAGCACAGCGCTGCTGTGATTCCCGCTAAATAGTGGAAAATCTTTAAATGGCAGGCGTGGAAACTCTTGATTTTTATTTCCTCTTAATAAAAATTGATTTTAAGAATAATCAAGTTATTTTCAGTTGAGTATTATGTCTACTATACGTTCGTAATTATTTCAGTGTAATCGAATTTCTATGTTGTCAGAAATCTTTCTCCTAATATAGATATCTGCATTTTTAACATTCAGCGCTATAATATCACTGTTTATTATAATATGTGTTAACGTGTTTTTTTTTTCTATTTAATAAAAAATTATTCTAAGCCAATGCATTAGAATGCTGCATGCCACTTTTTAAAATATTAAAAATATAAAAATTGATTCATCTTTATATATATAAAATAACATTTAGCAGAAACTACACTTTTTATTATTGAAAATATATTACAGATTGAGATATATATTACATGATTTTTATAAACAGACGTAGTAGTGTCATACAAGTTGTAGTATTTGGAGATTTAAATAAATTAATAAAAAATCCAGGAAAATAACAGAAATAAATAAACAATATTTTTATATTGCATTTTTCCTGTGATGCATCTATGGTATTACGACTTTATATTATTTTATCAGATATAAAACTTTACATTTTTTAAATATCGACTTTTATACCAAAATTCCTGTTTTTATTTTCTCACGTTCCATCAATTAAAAAAAAAAATAAACTTTATTACACTTAAAAAATTTTAATTTTTTGTCTTGTTTCGGAAACACTCCGAAACACTAATGAAGCTTTGTCTAAAATCATCTTCTACGGCAGCGATCAGCGATTGATTTCATGACAATTTGGTATGCATACATACATATGGAATGGAAAACATTTTGATCATGTGCGTGACATTTTCGTTCTGCATATATGCCATTGAGAGAGATAGAAAGGACTGAATAAAGTGGTAATAGAGAAATCGTTCAATTTATAATGTAATATCAATGTGTTATCAATACGGAAGTTTAACTGTTTATGCAGAAGGTGGGCAAAATAAACACATGTAAACACCTAGAAAATACATTACTTGTTTTATTAATAAGAGGTTGGCCCTCTTATTAATGATAAGATCATAATGCCTTTAATACAAATTCTATCCTGTTGGAATAGAGTCATATAATGCTTCAACAACCAATGGAATGTTGTACTCTTTTAATGTTGCTATTCTTTTAACAGAACATCTTTCATACTTATATATAAGTGATGTTGGAGGAAGAAATTTGCTTCTCACTTTTCAAACGTGCTCTTTGTTCTCCTGAAACTTTAATGTTAACAACAAACAACAACATCAATATCTTTCCTGGCCAGCGTACGTACCTGATTCAAAAATATCATTGAATCATTGAACAGTTTTAAAGAGCAAAATGAGGAAAGTTTTTCCTCCAATTATTTCTTGAGCACGTGGAAGATGCTTTGTCATGTACGGACAAAATTTAGAGTCTTCTAATAACGAATCAAATGTTGAAGAATGTAGGATGGACATAGGATTGCACCCAAAGACAAAACTTTCTTCCTCTACTAATATACGTACGAAGTGATGAGAAGCTCGCACAAGGGATTTCGGATCGCTTGAGTATAAATAAGCGTGAAAAAAATACCACAATGACTTACTCGAGCGATACTCAAGCTCTTGGTCTATTAGCTTATTAGCTTTATCAATCTTTTATGTATTCATTTTGGAATTCTGCTCTTGTTTTTGACATTAAGAAACTCTGACCTATATACCTGAACGAAAATTCAAGTCCCAATCAAACCATTGTAAATTCAAGAATTTCTTGAATAAAGGTATTTTGTAAATCCTGAAATCTAATTTATCCAGAAACACCTAACCATTTCCCGGAACACCTCTCTAAATCTGTCGCTGTTAAAGAGCGTGGCAACAGACAGAACAAGTCCAACTATATCTGTCATTGTCGAAAAGTGTGACACAACAGAAAATTTATAATTTAATTTATCTTTCTTTATGATGTCTAGAAAAGGGGGTAAAAAACACACGTGAAAAAGATTAAATTTTAAATCACGTAACTATAAGCAATCCAATCTAATCAGGATCCTTTCTTGCTCTTCCTTAAACTAAAGAATTTAGAAACTGAAATCCAAGGTGACGTAATTCAAGAAGTTCCACGTCACAAACACATTCTCCTAGATTTTGAAATCAATTTTCCTAATTTCAATTTTATAAATAAATCTGATCCTCGTTACAAGACTTTTAAATTACGTTATCTTTTCGGCCCCGATCAATCACACAATCTGTACGTCAAATCTCGGGTAAAGTAACATTAAATATATTGAAGTCCAAAAATGGACGAAATAATTCTCTTTGTCACGTCACACATGACATCTTCTAGAAAAATGATATAACATTGGTGACACACACACACTGGTGTCTATTTTTAAGCATTGTGTGAGTCTATTCCAACAAGAACAGATTCTGTGTTAAAAACAAACAGTGGGTTTTACATCTTATTAATAACAAGTTATTAACGACAATTGATAACATCTTATTAATAAAACAAGTAATGTATTTCCCAGATTATTTCACATTATTTTGTCTATCCCTTGTACGTATTTAGAGAATACTCTTTTATGTGAATCATCAAAATATATCTAAATATCGCTATTGAAAGACTTTCAGTATTACTGTAATGGAGCAGCGATGCATAATGAGCTATGAATTATTCATCCTACCTAGAACAACTTTAATCAGCGATCCGTCGTCACTAACGGAACCTTTAAAAGTCTTGCTGTGTTTCCCTGTAGTAACATTATAAACTCGGATATTTCTATCTTGACAGGCGGTTAACACATGCTTCTGTCCAGAATCGACTTCCATGTCATACAGAGTGGTTTTTCCCTGAGCATTGCGACCCCTAGCAAATTGCGGCATTCCGCCTGGCGTCTAAAAATACAAGAGAAAATCGTAAAGTGTCTTGGTGAATGCCAGATCTGAAATTGATTATCAAACATCGAAACAAGATTACTTACTGATTGCAATTGCCTAAAAATAATACTCTTATCCGCGCCGCAGGATACCATCTGTATCTGATTACATTGATTCAATTGATTAAAAAATCTAACCGCGGTAATGGAAGAGCTATGATCATCAAGCGTCTGCAGAAAATTGTATCCCTGATCGACGCTAAAAACGTGAATCAATCTGTCGCGAGACGCGCTTGCTAGTAGTCTAGGGGCGTCCAGCGAATGTCGTGAGAACCTGGAATACTCTAGACACAGCACTTCGGCATCGTGCGCTTCTATCAGGCATAACTCTTCCAATGAAGAAACATCGTGGATTCTGATATTACCGGATCTGTGGAAGTAATATGTGATAGTATCCCTTGCTGATCGCCCATCAACTGGATTTCTCTTCCAGAGATTTTACCTATCCCCGGAAGCGAGGTGCTTGCCGTCAGGAGCGACTCTTATCGATCTCACGCCGTTACGACCGTCGTAAGATGCGTCGCTCTTTTCGGCGGATCCCGCGGCGGCCAAGTCCAGATCCTTCAGGTAAGTCAACTCCGGATCCACGTACAACACCTTGAGCAATTCCTATATCAACGAAAAAACGGGGACCGTGCGAAATAAAACATCGACTTTACACGCGCCCACTTTTCATTCTGATTACATTTTACTTGAGGGAGAATACTGACATTGCTATAAATGTTCCGCTTGTATAAGGTATCATTTGGCGTGCTATCCCTCTCCAAATTCCAGACCCTTATTGTGTCGTCGCTGGAGCAGGTGATGAAACTTCCGGGCGGCATCGCACCGACGGAATCTGAATCGGTCGGATACATCTCGACGCCCCAGATGCAGGCCGAATGGTACAGGAACGAGTGCGACTTGCCGACCCGCTTGATATCCCTCACATCCCAAACGTAGATGCTATGGTCGTTGTACACGCAAGTCAGTTTGTTATTTCGCTCATCGAATGCCAGCGCGATCGCGTCCGGATACCTCGCGTTAGGCGGATGTTGAGACATATGGCTAAAACAAAAAACGCGAATAAGAAGATATTCCTAAATGTCGCAACGGAGACGTATCGAGGTGTGTCATTGTTATAAAATATAAACCTGATAGACAATCCTTGTGCAACGTCTACTCCCAAGTAATGTGTCCTCGGTAATGTGGTGATAAACTGAAGTGTGTTAGGACTAAAACATCTTACAATACCCTCGGCGCATCCGATAAAAATATATTTATCCCCGATCGCCATGCAATTGGCACTACTCGTCTGTAAGGACAGCAATGTTTCTTTTTCATTACCAAATACGAGTTTAAAAGTAGATTGATCGTGATCTATTTATATTTCTCGAATCGAGTGTAGAACCGAACTAATCACTAATAAAAGTAACTTACTCGAAGCTCGACCCACTTGTCCAAGAGCCTCCTGTTATTAAATTCGCACAACAGACCCGTTTTGGTTATCGCATACGTAGAATCTGCCATCTCTCCCCTACCGCAGGCTACGTCAACGAAATCATTATTTCTCTGCTCTCCTAATATAGCGGAACGACCCATCAAAGGCACGGGTTCTTTGTACTGTGTAATAAAATGTCGCATAAGATCTATATCCTTCTGTTACATCACATCAAGAAAAAACACAATACTTTTGTTTCGCGGTAAGACAGTAAAACAGGGTTGAGAGCTTACCTTGGCGCTACGCGAATACTCCAAGTACCAAAACTTGACGTGCCTGTTACCCACGGTAACGAAATACGTGCCATTCTCCGCGAAACAGACGGCCTTCACCTTGCTCGAAACTTTATTGGATGCTACTTTGACATTGTTCCGCCAATCCCAAACATTCACAATCATGTCGTGCTGCGAACCGACCGATACAACGTACTTGTTGCTGGGCGAGAACGCCTGAAATCAAAAGATAAATGTCCTTTCAATATCTTGTACTGCCTCATAGGCGTAATCTGAAACCTCCTACCTCTCACACACGTAATGCACGTTACTTAACATTGTATTTCGCGACGATATATTGTAAAAAATAACTGACGTGTAAACAATGTAAAGAACTTCGCATTAATCATGTATATGAAACTAGGTCCTGGTAAAATCAACTAGTTTTCTTATATGTTGTAGCTGCTTATGACCTGCTGAACAAAATATGTAATAAGCTCAAAGGTATAGATAATGCGCACAGTTACTGACCTACAGCCAGACAAACATGAAAAACTCAGGCTCTACGAATACGTGTTTAGGAACACTTTGGAGTTGAAAACATCATAAAAAAATGATTATTATTAATAATAATAATCATTTTTTTATATATATATATAAAATAATGAGTAAGGATTCTCTCGAAATTAAAACTTAAAAAAAGGATGGCTATGAGAGTCAGACGCAGTTATCACAGTGCGTAAGTGATTAAATTACTAATTTATTCCCTGTGTATACCATTCGTACGTTTCGTAAGTAATTTAATTAATTTTCTCGCTGAAGATGGCTCAATCCCGAGTCGAAACGTATACGAATGTATACACAGGGAATAAATCAGTGATTTGATCACTTACGCACTGAGATAACTGAGTCTGACTCTCATAGCCATCCTTTTTTCAAGTTCATATATATATTATGATCATATACAGGGTCCCATACATGTGTCCTATACAGGGTGTCTAAAAAGTCTCGGGAATGCCGAAATATCTCGAAAAATATTAGTTTCATAAAACAATTTTTTGAGACAAAAGTTGTAGGGTTTAAAAAGATCTATTTATTAGCTTTATGAGTTTGACCTTGGGTGACGTCACCAAGGTCAGGTTGAAATCACCTTGAATTTTTTCAATAAAACCTATTTTTATCACATATTTTTATAGCCTCTTTCGAGACCTTTTAAGACACTGTAATTTTATCCACTTTGAGTGTAAAGTCGTTTCGAAGTTATTGAACTTTTTATGGTAATATGTTGGAAAGTGTATCTATCGTATATTATACACCCGTGTATGACGAAGAGGTTAATGGGTGGGTGGGTTATATGTTATTATATAACCACACATCATCAGCAGAGCGCATCTCTTCGCTAAGCCCATTATCACATTTTATATAAATAGGAAAAGATATACGTACTCAATATACTGGTCGTCTGTCTTAAAAAAATTAAACATGAGGCAAACACAAGCTACAACACAATACAGCATCACGTTAAGTATATATATATATATATATATATTTCATAAAAAATTCAGTTGCTCATGCAACCATGTCAGGCTGCTTTTAAAATCCTGATAATTTTCAAAAGTTTTTTTTAAATTTTTTAAATTTGTTTCACTATAATATTTGACTAATTAGATCGATTTTATATCTATTTTTAAACAGTTAATTTTTTATTTAATGATACATAAACTTTTAAATGCATTTTACGTATTTGGAGTTCTTTTTTCTGTATCTTTTTTTCACCTTTGTAAGATTTTTTAAATGAAATTACTTTATTTCAAAACTAAAGTGTTATCTTGAATTTTTCTATGATAGCTAAATTCTAAAAAACTATATTTTAATTTTTCTTCATATAATTATATCCGTTTAAAATTTTAATCTTTCTCTTACAACGAAAATATGAAGAGTGAGAAATGAGAGACACCGTACGATCGTAGACACATGAAATAAAAAGTCATCGCAGGCAAATACTCACCACGCAGTTGATGCCGTACTTATGTCCCGGAAATTCCGCGATTTGCACGGCGTTGTGCGGATCGGAAATATCCCAGACACGGACGTTCGGCATATGACCGCATTCACCGGTGGCTAAGAGTTTACCGTCACCGGCGAGCGCTAGGGAGGTCACAGTCTTCCGCGAGGCATTCAATACGTGTGCTTGACTGTTTCGTCGTGGATTAAACAGCACGATGGTGCAACTGTAATAAAAGAATACTAATATGTGAAACGTAACCAAGGTAATTTTAGCTTAAAAGAGAGCAATTTATTTATCGTAATTTCTGATACGAATTTATGACGAACTGAGACAACTGTATGATTATAAATAAATTAATAAATTAAAATTAATCAATAACATCATATTTTACATTGATTTAAGTTGTCGTTGTTAGACGTAATCGGATTTCATACAGCGATTTTCTAAATATGGTAACATGGTTAAAATAATATTGCACAAGTCGGATATGTATTTAACGAGTTATAAGGGAATATGACCATTTGCACCAAGAGGGAAGTCCTCTAAGGGTTGCGGCGCAAAAATCGTTATCATTTCCAAATAATAGCGCATAATTCGGGTAAGTATTATGTATAGTTGAGTAATCAAATTTTAGTATTTTTAACGAGTTACAAGAGAATTTTAGCATTCGCACCAAGAGAAAAGTCCCTTAAGAAATGCGGCGCAAAAATTGAAATTACCCTGATGTGAGAGCGCATAATTAGCGCATAAATCCTGTGTACTTGTTTTTTTTAATTTGCTTACGATTAACATGTGGGGGGGAGGGGGCTCACTGACAATCTACTCAGCCCTCCACTTAAAACAATTTTTTTTTACTAAACGAAAAAAGCGCAAAATTATTTTTGACGGATTTAAAGAGCGCATAAATAGCGCATTATTATATAATTTATTCATTAAATTTTGAGCAAGTGGGGGGGGCCAGCTAGGCAGACGTCTTCCGCTCGCAATATCTTACGATTGAAATAGCCGAATAAAATCGTAACGATAAAATTAGAATACTTTCAGTGAATATTCAAACTATATAATGACTTTATGTAACAATACTAAAAAATTATTATACGTGAAGACACACAACATATGCGCACACCCACATGTATACGCTTTCATGTCACGTATTTGTTTAATCTTCAAAAATTTTATTTCGAAAATTTATACAAAATAAATTTATAACGGTAATTATTTTTTTTTTTATTTAAAGACCCCACTTTCAGTCCCTTATTTTCCTGATTTCATAACGTTCACTGTTCACTCCCATAAAAATAAAAATGTTTCTTTGCTTAAAGTAAAAGACCGACGAACGCACTTCTCGCAAAGTGTGTCATAGATGTTGGTCTCTTATCGGGATCAACGTCTGGAGACCTACACAGTACGTTCGACTCGCAGCACACGCTTCAAATGTATTCCTTTTATATTAATTAATTATCTTTCAATAGTACGAGTAAATATAAAATTTTACGTAAAACGGATTGCAAAAATTTGAAAAATAAAAATTCTTTTATATTCTATAGGTTAAAATTTGTATCGATAAAATTTCACTTAAAATTTTAAGTTAAAAATAAAAATTCTTTTATAAATAAATTTTAAGTGAATTTTTACCAATACAAATTTTAACCTATAGAATATAAAAGAATTTTTATTTTTCACATTTTTGCAATCCGTTTTACGTAAAATTTTATATTTACTCGTACTATTGAGAGATAATTATTTAATATAAAAGGAATACATTTGAAGCGTGTGCTGCAAGTCGAATACACTGTGTAGGTCTCCAGATGTTGGTAGAAGTAAGGGAAGAAGAAAAAAGAAATGGACGCAAGAGCTCCTCAAAAGTGTCTCCTTGTAACATGTAAGAAATTACTTGTAAAGTGCACGAGTTTTGACGAGTTTGAACGCATTTGACCATAAATGTTATAGATATGATATTTAAAAAATTATAAGTACTCTTTAGAATTTTAGAATAAGAGCAATTATATGAGTTGTGAGCAAAAATCAAAATTCCTCTTTTATATTTCCTTGACTTTTCCAGGTCTGTGGCAAACTTTTCATTGTTTCGGGAAACAATTTGTAAGATATCTCATTATATTCTTTTGACTTCATTCATTTCTTCAGTAATATTTGTATCACTTTTCATTAAAAAGAAAATTGTATTTGTTACTATATATCAACTTAAAAAAATTAATCAGAAAAAAGTCAAACTTACCCAGCTGGATAAGCGACCAATTCACTGGTCTTATCACAATCGAGGGCTGCATTGCTGGAAACAGTTACACCCAGCACTCGTTCTAGCTTGATCTAAAATATAACAAAAAAGTTATTGTTACACTGACATTCGCACTCTCTATAATCGTTGGTAAAATTCTTAACATATCTATTATATAATAAAATTAATAAACAATCTAGCTTCAGAATGATGGCGGAGAAAGAATTTTTATTCCACACTCGTCTGGAACGAAACTGGTAAAGTAAATCGCGCAAAAAGAATCGCGAGAAAGACGATAAGTATGATTGTGAACAGCACCAGCGTGAAAAGGTAAAAAAATCAACTTTTTTCCTATTCGGCAACAATAATAAGGTGGGGGGCATTCGCCATATATACAGGGTGTCCTATTTTAAATGCTCCAAAATACGGAAATTATGGAAAAACGTTTTAGACAAAAGTGCGGTAGGATATCAAGAAGAACAAACGTCTCTAACATCTTTAAACGTCATCTTGCGCTACCTGGGTTGCCACGAAATCAGCCAATCTTTACTAAATTAACAAATAAATAATATCGAAGTCTGCAAAAATTAATTGAATATTTTACAATGGTTTTTCTAAAATAATCAGATATTTGATTAGTATAGAAATATACAGAAAAAAGAAAATGTAAATTTAATAGTACAAATAAATAAAAAAAAGTAAATGCAAATTTAATTCTGGAATGCAATTATTTCAAAATTAAAACGGTAATCTTTGAATGTAAAAATTTATCTAAATCAAAATATTAAGTATGCATGTGCGCACGCACATATTACATTCGTATAGAAAGATGCGGCGCCTCACGAAAAAAAGTATTTTCTATTAAAGAACGGTTTCGCGCATTATATAGCATCTTAGCAGATTGTTATAACTTGACATAATAAGGAAGATATAACGGAATATAAACAGCGCGATTGCGCATTGTCTACACGATGTTTATACTCGAGATGCATGAACATTCTGGAACCCGTCTTTTATCTTTATCATCTCTGAAAAAATAATTGGATCCGTAGCACTGTACTTTTCCCAGTTTCTTGAGTGCGGTCGTATAATTAATCGCTGTTCATTAGACTCAACGGTTTTATCTATCGTGATGCGCACGTGTTCAGTTAATATAAAGTGCAGTAGGAAACAGTCAATATAAAATATAAATAAATATAAAACCAATTAAAACTTAATTAAATATTTTAAAACCTTTGATTAATATGGAAACTAACAAAATGGATTAAATGGTTCAAACAATTGAAAAAACTATTTGAAAAAATATTATTTTAAAGATACATTTTATTTTATATATTTTTTATATACATTATCTATATTCTATTAATGTATAAGCTATAAAAAATTTCTCTTATGTATTTTCCTTTTTTTTATAATAATAACAACAATTAAGAAATTTTTGAAATCTTCGATTAATTTTACGAGTAATTGTGTACAATTAATCAAAACAATCTCGAATTAAGTTTTGTCTCCTCGTGATCATGATTATAGCAAAGAAAGTAAGAACATATATGTAAGTACAATATATTATAATAAGTTATAATCTAACGTTATAAAAATCAATCATATATTCTCTTTATTGCACTTATTATATTTTTAATATCATTTATATTGCATATTATATTTTTTTATATATTACTTTAATATTATTTATTATTTAATTACTTTTTACATTATACAAGGTGGGTCAAAAATATGGGTACAGTCAAATATCTCGTAAACAATGCAGTTTAGAACAAAAATGTTTTAGACATAAGTTGTATAGGGTTCAAAAAGATCTATTTACTGATCTTATCAGTTTGATTTTGGATGCAGGATCTTGGAAAATGTCTTGACAAAGTCTACAAGAATATGCAATAAAAAGTAAAAGGTCCAATTTAAAAAATTTAAAGTGACTCTACCTTAACCTTAAGAATGCTTAAGGATATGCTTAAGATCAAATTAATAAGGTCAGTAAGTAGATCTTTTTAAATCCTACAATTTTTGTCTGAAACATTTTTTCTAAAATCCAATGTTTTCGAGATATTAATATTCGACTGTACCCATACTTTTGACCTACCCTGTGCAATAGAATCACAATAGTGACTGTTACGATCTATGCTCGTTAAATTTATTAGATTTATTAATCGTTAGCACTATGTTATTATAGCGTTAATGTGAAATTTTTTGTGTGATGAAATAATTGATTTTTAAAGTGCGTAATACAAAGCTACACCTGCGCCAACATGGCACGACGATAATCATAAAAGAAAACCGTGTATGTATGTGACCATTACGTACGTCGTATGCTGGAACAGTCTCCTTGTCGCGTACAATGGGCGAATTGTTCCTAGGTATTATTAAAGCCATTTTTCAAAATATCGCGAATATATATGTATCTCTTTTTCTCTTTCCCTCCTCTTTCTGCTTCTCGTCTGCTCTCTTAGTCCACACATCTACACGATTTTTTCCATTGTTTTTTAATACGCACTAAAAGATGCGTAGTACGTTCACGTTTCTCGCGTGTAAAGTAATTTTTCAATCACCAAGTATCTCGCGATGATCATATATCCCCCAACTCGTGTCGTTTCCGAGCTTATCAGTTTCGATGAAGCTTCATTATTAACTGCCACAGCCACACCAGAATCCTTAATTTTTACGCACATAAAACTTTGAATTTCAACTTTTCACTTATGTCAGTCTATCACGAGTTCTCAAAGACATTTTATATAATTTAATGTTTGAAATAGAGTAAAGACACAAACATGTATGAATTAATTTTAAAAAGCAACAGTGTAGATAAGTTTTACAATAAATTACTGCGATAATACTATTTCGTTTTTCTTTTAGATTTTAGATAAAAGATCTGTAATTCAAATTCTGACAATTCTGATTTTCATTTTTTGATGATACGACATACGAACTAATATTTTCAACTATGTTTTTGTAAAAAACAAACGCAACAAATTTCCAATCGTAATATCTTCAAATATAAACGTCATTAAATATATGATATCAATATAATAAAAATTAATATAAAAATCTCTCGCAAAAATATCTGTCAATAAAGTTATATTGTAAATCTAAAATAAAATTTTGAACAAGCTGATCGGATCTGATCTTTGTTTGATCAATATTTGACTGTAATATAATATTTGATGTGCAATACATTTGAACACGGATTAACAATAATATTAAATTAATTCTAATTCCATTAAAGTACGTCTAACTGTCGATTAATTATAACTCCACAGTATTTGCTCTATTTTACCACATTTTGACATTTGATTCATACAATCATTCGTTCCAACATTTAAAATATTCTCAAAAATCATCGCATCATCAAAGTTATCGAAATCTCTCTTCACTCAGAAAAAATATATTAAAAAACATTTTAATGACAAAAAATACTGATGCCTACCTTCCCGAGGCATATTTCTTTCATAAAATTTTAAAGGATGCACGTTCGCGGCTCATTGCAAAACCTCCCAAAGGCAAAATATTCATGATACTATTATCATTCTTTCTTCAATTACGTCACGCTTCATGATCATGCATATGCACGATGTATGCGCATATACAATAATTAAACATAATTAAACATATTTTTACAAGTGAAAACATCCGAAGAAAGAAATATAACAAAAAATTAGATATTTTTCACCCTTTTAAGGCGGTTTTGCTCAAACCTAAAAAATGTCGCGATAAACTCATAATATTTCCTTTACGTGCATCCCTAACTCTAAGAAAGTGTACGATCGTTTTTGCATTCGTGACGTCATCCGTTATTATTGTTAAATTAAAATTCAACCGGCACAAATTTTTAATTCATTCGCACAGTCACCGTTTGTGCGTGTTCCTTCATCTTTTCGACGCATTTTCTATCTCCACAACAAAAAATCACTTTGTTCGGAAAACACTTGACACTTCGTATCGATGCGATTTCAAATCCTATAGCTAATGTTGAAAAACAATGAAATTTCCGCATTTCGTGCACTAAAAGAACAAGAGAAACTAAACGAGAAAAGACGACGAGTAAGAGTGACGACGGACGTCCAACTCTGTACTGAGGTACACCAACGGTTCTGCCGTTCGACTATGATCCCCACTCACTCTCACGTCTACCTGCCATACTTACGCGTGCACTTTTTCCATATTACGCGCGTGTTCCGTCACGTGCCTTTCTAGTATATGTAATACTACGTGCGTGTTAGCGTGCGCATGATATATACCTATGTATATGATGGTAAGGGGGTTCGTCATCGTGCATCTCACCAAAATTACCAGAATCCTCTTAAATTTTTAAAGTCTAGCGAGACATATATGTCCCGACATGTTTAAAAAATCGTATCTCTGGTAAATACGAAGCTATTAAAGATCAACTAAAGCTCATTTTAAAGAAAATTATTTAAACTTTAACTAAAAAATATTGTTATAAATACACGTGTAAAATATAAGAATAAATTACTTGTCAAGTAAAATCGTTAGGTTCTCGGAATAATCGTGAAATGTTATAAACATAATATATAAACGCGCATAATTTTCAGATATTTCAATGATAGGAGAAATACGTATTGGAAAAATGCTATTGAATGATATACTTACAGATGTGCGCGTGATAGGTTAAACTGAAAACTTTTGAATCTTAATTATTTCTATACATAATTTTTATGTTTTGACGTAGACCGTATCATATGAGTACGTTCAAAGGTATCGAGAAAAGAAGTATGCGATGTAGGATTATGTATTAAAACATATTACCGAAAGTTCCATAAAAAATGAAATATACATTTCTCTATAATAAAAAAAATAATATATATTCCCCTATAATAAAATTTTATTAGAATTTGATATTTTATATTTGTCATATTGCATGGATCCGTCATTTTGAACTTTTATGTTTTGACTTACGTTTGCAACAATCACAAAAACTTTTAAAAATAACTGAATAAAATATGCATCACGTCTCCAAAAAAGTCAAACCTAGAAAGGTTCAACTATTGTACAGACAAAATCAATCATCATAAGATTTGGCTCATATTGAAACATTACGTAGGCTGCTCACTTATCTCCTCAATCGCCGAAGGTCACTAAATGTAAATCGTCACCACCTACGTGCGTCCGACGTTCATCGTCCGCAGGGACATCATCTGAATGGATTTAAGTGTCCCGTGCTAGGCTCAAAAACAACTTGTACGTTAACATTTCACCGACAAAACGCATAAAACTGTACACTTTATATGAACGTATATATGATGTTACCAACAAGACGCATATAGGAGAAACCGAGGCGAAGTCGTCATTATTTTTTCGGTGCCGATTTTTAAAAAAACAAATAATTTTAGTAAAATGTGGTATACCGTTGTAAAGAGTGAACCCTTGACTACAAACGTTATACGGACATTTTTGGTCTACGTCGCTTTGTTCAACTGATACAGAGTAAAAACGACAAAGGTGCAAAACGTGAAATGTCAAAGTTTCCGGGGCGGAGTCGTCACTTCATTCTCGGACTGAATTAAAAAAAAAAATTCATAATTTCAATCATAAAAAATGATAGGATATGGAACTGTATAGAACCAAAAATTATGAATTAATTATTATTTATATTTGCTAATATGTAAAATTTCCTTGAGATGGCTTTTACAAAAGTTTATGATTGCATACTTTAAAATATTAAAATTACAATAATTTTATAAAAGCATTTTTGGTGTCATGCGCACAAATAGATTTGTTCGCTGCAGATTAAAGTATTAATGCATTAGCTCCTAAAGTGTTTATTGCAGACGGCACGCAGACGTGATAGATGGACGACTCTAAATATATTCTTATTACGTATCGTATCATATACGAGAAATAAATATTCATTTTTTAGAAAGTATATCTATTAATGAAAAGCGTTATTTTTGTATACAAATAATGTAGATGATAATTTATCACATGCATCACAAACATTTTACTATAAAAAATGAAAAAATTCTATGGAGAATTTTTAACACGTGCGTAAAGTACAATTTTGTAGATCTTTAATTCTCAACGACGTTTGAGAATGTATTGTTGGTGATGGCATTCTTAAATACTGAACATTAAATATTATCATTCTTATATACAATTAAGCACTGGGAGGAAAGTAAAATTTTGAAAGAGAAAACATAATTTTCTCCAGAGGATGTATAATACATCCGCTCTACACGGTTCACGAATCGCCAAATATCAAATGAGATAATGATGATATACGAAAAAAATCTCAAAGCGTAACAGTCAATCTATAAAAAAATCGTTAAAGTATAACCAAACTTGAAACATTCGCAAGTCAAAATAACTTATTTAGTTCAGTGCCAAAATTTATTTAATTTTTTGAGGATAAGTTTAATTTTTCATTAATGGATCGATTTTCTTGAAACCGGTGCCAAAATTTTTCTAATTTTTTGGGGATGGCGATGATGTGTAGAATTTTTCATATGGGATTTAATTTTTCATTAATGTACCGATTTTTTTGAAAACTGCAAGTGCTAAAATTTTTCTGAATGCGAACTATTCATTCAATTAATGGACCGATTTTCTTCAAAACGGTGCCAAAATTTTTCTAATTTTTCGGGGATGGCAACGATGAGTTTAATTTTTCAGTAATAGACGTGTTTTCTTAAAACCGGTGCTATTTTTTTCAGTGTTCTATGCCAATGTATTCAGAATGTTCGAAAATGTTGAAAAATCACCTTTTTAAAAAATGTCTATATGTGTGTATATATTCCACTCGCTAAGGATGATCCAAAAGAAGAATGTGTGGTGGAGGCCAATTTTGTTTTAAATAATAAAATTGGTTAATATGTAAAAAGATCAAACCTCACCGATGACTTTGACCTTGACATATGTTGTCAAGGTCATCATCCTGAGTGACCTTCAAAAGGTTTTAGCCGGCGGTCATTGTTTATTAAAGTTATGAACAAAAAAATTTAAAATATATAACAATTTGTGTTAGTGCTAAAACATTTGCGCGATGCGCAAAAAAAATAAATATATATCTCTATATATACATAAATTTAAGAGAGGAAAATATAACTTGAAATGGAAAAAAATTCGAATCTGTAAAGAAAAAAGTAAGAACAAAGAGGGTTTAGTGTATAATTTCTTGAAAGTGGCGCTATATTATAAAGGCGAAGGAAATATATTTAGGTGAAGACATTAAAACGACCCACCCTGTATATGTATAGATTTAAATGTTTGGTTAATATCGCGCGATACATCGAAATCACTAATCGACGTAAATATCGACTGATCCGAGTATATATGTTATAAATAGGAATAGAATTATCAAAAGAACAAAAGAGACATACGATTTCGAGCCGAGTCATCATCCGCAACCAAAACGATCGACAAGTTACACAAACGGACAACGTAACGACACGTATCTATTAAACAATTTTAATAAAGAGACACGACGACTGAATACGAATAATGTACACGTACGACGGCTAGTATTCATTCAATCACAATAATGTAATTCAAATCCAGGCTATCGATTAGGCCTACTCAGAACTTAATCGCGGTTCAGCCGTTATTGAGATTCGATCATCTATGGATCTCTCAACTTGTCGGCTCGCATATAGATATACGATCTGTGAATCGCTGCGCGTATATACACTTGGCGCGAGACACTACTGCACTAAAACAAAATCTGGTTCGTTCATTTTCTACCAGAAAATACTGATTGAATCTACCAGAATCTGGTTGAATTAATAAGAATTCTGGTTACATAACTAGAATTCTGGTTGCATTAATTGGAAGAAAAATCTGATTCGTTCATTTTCCACCAGACGTCCAATTAATTCAACCAAATATTTTTTTCCAGTATGTGTCTCTTGATGAGCTGTTTGATAATCGGCTATTTTCGTTTTCGATTTGTTAAAAATAAAAAGATTGAATCATAGTATGAGGTGAGGATGATATTGAAATTCAAAATTTACTTACCCTATCTTGTATTCTAATATTTTCTTGGCCTCTCTTTAAATTTGGGGCCCGGAGAACCTTGCTTGTGAGTGACGGTTCCATTATAACGGCAAATTCTGTTCTCGCGTTAGATTTCCATTTCTGAAAGAGTGTTCCGATCTCATTTCATTCCCTGAAACAAAAGTTGTTTTTATATAACATTCACGTTAAATATAACTTTCACAAAGAACTAGATACGCGAATTCCTTCTCTGATGTAGTCACTCCCTAGATTATACAATTAAATTCGCAAATATAAATTATCTCGTGTTGTTTTTACCAAACATTTATATCGTACATTATAGATATTTATTTCAGTCTAACGTAGCGATAATATACGCCTCGTGCAATTCTAAAAAGTAAGATTGTCGGAAAGTTACAGCCTGGATAATAAATGAATTCGCTGTGCTATGAAATCAGCATGACAAATCGATATTTCGGAACTTCCTCAGATTCGCGTGGATCAGATTTCTCGATAGTAGCAATAATAAGCCCATATGTGGTGAGTCGTTGAGCGAAAGTAAGAGTAAATGTGTGTCTCGATCGTGGGAGATCACGACCTACGCAAATTCCGCATTGACTTGCAATTAGTACTTTCAAAGAAGCAGAATATCGGTCTATTGTGCTGAGGTTATAACAGAAGACAATGATCCATAATTAAGTATAACAATAATACATTTTTTTCTAAGATTTTTTATCATTAATAATATCGACCAAGGCACATTGACTTTTGATTAAATATTGACAAATCGATGGTATATATTAAGAAATTGGACCGCACTTAAATTAAAGAATAAATATTAGCTTTTGGAAAAACCTAAATTAAAACACTTTAGACCAATAAAAAGTGTTAAACATAGGTGTCCGTATATTCAAAATGAAATAATACGTCAAGATTTTCCTTGAGATTTGAATGACAAGATATTGTGATATGAATATTGTGATGTGAATGATAGATATGAGTAACTAGAGGTAGTTTCCTGGTGATAAGAGTAGTGTCAACGTAGCAACAAAATAGCACTAAACAAATATGTCTTTGTTTTTTGCTCATTTTTTTATGTGGCTGTGCT